GGCTGGCCTCGAACCGCTGTTGCTCAGAGCTCAAACTCTTGAGCGAGCTCTTAACCAACTGAGCCATTCGGCCGGCCCAATATAACTTACTTTTTATCATGAAAGTGAATTATACTGAGCATGCTGTTTAAGAAGAAGGCGGGAGGTATACTAATATATTGGAAACACTTGTATCAAAAATAATTACTAGTTTTAAATTTGGCACTTAAGAGATATACATTAGTTATCCCAAAATTCATATATATGCTTTCCTTCATGATGAATACAGGGTATTACTTAGTGAAATTTCATAGCTCTCTGTGACTGCTGGTCACTAAATGGGGATGATTGTCATCAATAAGTTATCAGAATATTTCTCCTGCTAAACACAAGCTTAACAGATATTTATGGATGCCAATACCTATATTCTGACTAATATGGGAAACACTAGGCTTCTACAAGATTCTCAGAATGTTTTTCCTCTATTGCACTTTCTAGCAAACAAAACTTTAATACTAATGGTATAAGGTGAGCTTGGTTCTAGACACAGGAGTGGAGAACATGTGATTTACCTTTTCCTTGCTTGTTTTTCTCAAGTTTTTGGTATAGCTTCTTCTCAGGGATGTTAACAGGAGAAATAACAAAATATACATGTTCTTTGGGCTTCTGAGAAAAAAGACCACACACATTTTCAAAGATTAAAATAGAGGTTTCTTCTGCTTTAGCCACTTCATTTTCACAATTGAAAATAAGAAACTACAGTATAATTGATGTTCCTAAACTCATTCATCATAGCATTGCCATAAATATACTGTTCTGCAGAAAGCTTTTAAACAAAAGGATAATTTATACTACATTTTCCAACGATTATACTATATTACCAATTATAATACATTTACCAAGTATCATGAATAAAAATGACTGAATAAAATTTAGAGTAAAACACACCAGATTAAATTTTATACTCCAAGTGAAAAGGGACCTTGAAATTGTGGATGTCATGTCCTCCAATAGTAATGCCATTCCTGAAGACCTTAATTCCTTGATTAACATCCCTGTTGGCTTTTTAATCATGACCATATCTCAAAGAGGACAAGGGTTGTTTTACTGAATTTGCTGGTGGTTAATATTTAATTCTCATCTGTATGGCTCTATCGCCTCCATTTTTCTTTATTTTATAGCTACTTATCCTGCTTGAGGATTTTCAGTTAATGGACTGTATGTAGGCCCTGCAGTTTATCGTATTAATTCTAATGAAAATTGTCAGTCTTGCAAACGTTCTTTTACATGGGGCAGAAGGTAAGCCAGAACTTCCAGAGGATACTAAACAGGTAAATTAAAAGGCCAGTTTATCATCCATTACAAACTAAAGGGCAAAATAGTAGAGTAGTAAGCACAGGCTTTGGACTACAACAGACAAACCTGGGTTTGAATCCCAGTGCTGGGACCCAGTTCTGTGATTTAAGACAAATCACTTATCCTTTCTGACCCTACATATCCTCCAAAGTAAATCGGTGCTCATGCCACCTACCTTGCAAGGCTTCTGTGAAGGTTAGTAATAAAGTATATACATTATTTGACACGATAGGTACTTTATAGTGTTTAAAGAATCATGAACTGAAATTTAGAGTTGGGCAACATGTGTGCCCAGCATTTGACATGGAACTCTCTCCAAAGGGGATATAATTTATAGAACCTTCTTTTGATTATCAATATAATTGTTGTACTTAGTAGCTTATTTTTAATGTTAACCTTGAGTGTTTTTGCCTCCAAAGCTTTATTTTCTTTTAAATATGTTTTTTAAAAAGTTTATGGCAAACCTGTTTTCACTGTACTTCACTGTAATTTTTTGATGACCAAAAAATTTCCAGTTTTTTTAACATCCATGGTAAATTGATCTAATTTCTAAAATTTGTCCTAGAGCCAACATTGTTCCAAGTGATATAACTTCTATACATGTGTGAATGGCTGTCCAGTAGGTCCTACAAAGAAATGTCATTTTTATTCATGCATTTGGGTTGCTTAAACATTTGTATAAGATTTAAAATACTTTTCTTGTTATGGTTGGAATTCTCAGCATCTACTCCCATGCCTTCCTTTTTCAATCTATTGGCCATGTTAAGGGTATTCAAAACAATACAATTTAAAGACAAAATAAAGTGTTCATAAGTCATTGTTTTAACATACAGCATAATACAGTAGAAATTGCCCTGAGCAAGGAATTAGGAGACTTGAATTCAAGTCCTGGCTCTGCCATTAATTTTTCAGGATGGCCTTAGGCAAATCACTTAACTTCTCTCATTCGTTAAATAATCAGACTGATTCCATTTTACGTTATTTTCTACCTCTGAAATTGCTTTCATTTACTTATTTTTTAATAATCAAAACAGCTTCTGGGAGTTGGTGTTAAGCACCTGATGGATGGAAGTATTTACTGATGTTTAAGATAGTGTTTTACAAACTGTGATCCAGGGACCATCTGAATAAAGATTACTTGGGGTTCCTGTTAAAAATACAGATTCTTGTCCTCTCCCTGGCGGATTCAGAACCTCCTAAGCTGAGGGCATTTTCTGTATTTTTCACAAGCTCCTCGATGATTATAATGCACACTAATGTTTGAGAACCACTGGCCTAAGAGAATGTGATCTAAGAGGGAAAAACTAGCATGTGGCTTAAATTACTCCAGCCTCTGGCAAATCCCTTCTACACACAAGACCATTCAAAGTGGAGGAGGCTAGCAGAGAGCTGCTTCCTTCGGCAGAGCAGTCGGCCTTGTGCCTGAGCCCTGCTTGACGCGTTTTACTTGCCGTGTTCCTTACAAAACACAACCAAAGGCCTTCATGTCAGCTCTTGGTCTTGACATCCAGGTCACTGACTACCACAGTTATGCCCACAGCTTGAAGAAGACTTGTTATTCTCCCCTCACTAATGCTAAGAGAGTTGAGCTTGCACCACCTGGCTCAAGGGAGAAATATGACTAAAACACACCTCTTTACTTTCAATTCCCCCTCTGCCCCAATACTATACATGTCATCCTGTGTGATTCAAATAATCTGGCAGAGAAAACAAAATCTGATAACACTGCTCTAGTCACTCTGTGGTCAGACAGTGTACTAATCCAATAAATAAATCCTCTTCTATACAATAGGAATGACTGAAGCCCATCCCTTCTCTTCTTTCCCTTTCTAATGCTGTTGACAAGAACAAAATACCAAGTAAGGGTACGTGCTACAGATTTTAAAAGTCATCAAGTAAAGTGAATTACAAAGAGAGGAGGTAATGTTTTTTTCTAGAATTTAAAAAAAAAATCCCTCTCACGGTGAAAAAAAAATATATAATTTTAACAGGAAGCTTAAAAGACCATGTGTTGCAAGATTATTTAACTGTTATGAGAATCATGTCATTATCTGTGCTCATTATAGAGAAACATAACAGCAAATTTAAAAGCCCAAGTATACTGATAAGTGAAGATGAAATTTCTTTTTCAACAACCAGTATGCCAATATCAAACTTCTGGGTTTTATTCTAGTATCATGGGGTTCTCCTAACCCAACCCAAACTCCTGCGAAATGTCCCAAGATTCACACCAAAATCAAAAAAGAAAAGACAGAAACTTGACAGAAGCTACCATGCGCAATCACCAGGAGAGCTGGAGTTCAATGGCACAGATCAGCAGGAGCTGAGGAATGCTGCAAAGGCGATGCTGCATAGTCTACCTTGGCGATGCCCCTACGGTGCTGGACGACCAAGTACTCAGGTCACAGGTGTTCACGGACCTGTAAGAAACAGGATCTTGACCCAAACTTTTAAGATCTTCTAAAAAGAAAATACTTCACCTAAATTGAAGTAATTTGTAAGTCAAACACTAGAAGAGTTCCTTATTTGATAAGTTGTGCCTAAAACTTTGGCTGATACAAAGAAACCCGTCCACTAAGGCACCCTGAGGCAATCTGACAATGTGTTGGAGAGAACTTTGTTGTCAGTACCACATCTTTATGAGAGTACAGAGAACGGATCACCCGCAGGGGACTGGCTTCGTTGGGCAAACAGTCAATAAGTTCACTGCACTGTTTGTCAAATCCCAACAAGCGAATCCCGTAGCCGTGTGGGGAAGAAACCATTCGCCCATCAGGGCTGAAGCAGAGTTCTTTGATATAACCCCGGCCTACGTTAGCTTCTTCAATATAATGAGTCAGTCGTAGAGAACAGCGAGGTGAGACAGGTCGCACGGGAGCTCCTTCTTGGAATTCATAGACACAAGTCCACTAGAGGGAGAGAAGAGAGACAGACCAAAGTTACAGAGCCCCAAATAGTGCTATAGATATTCGTTTTTAAAAAAAGCTCAACAGGATGCCAAAGCCACAGAATTGTTGCAAGAAATCACTCATGGGAATGCCATCGCTTTTCCAACTACCAAACTTGTAGGGCCCATACCTTATCTTCATAAGCTAAGGTTACTACTCTGTCCTGTGACCACTGTGACTTCTGTACTGACAATTCCCTTTTCTCAGAGTAACAACAACCTTCATATTTAAAAAATTCTAGGTTTAAGACATTCAAGCCCTAGAATGACTCTCCCACATACTTCAGAGGCTCTTCTCTCCTCCTTTCAGCTGTGGCTTCTAGAGCTAGTGAGATCCTTGGAAGACTCCTACTTTCCAGAGTGGTGAAAATCATAACATCATATAAGACCTTTGCCCCTACTCATCAGTTTAGTCCCTTCCTTTCCCAAAGTTTCCCCTGGTTTTTAAAAAGAAAAAATTATGTTACTCAATTGGCTAGGAAAACCTCACATTTAGCCGACCTAGCTGAAACATCTCAATCCTGTGTTTACTATATAAGGGTTTTTTTTGTTTTTTTTTTCACAATGTGATGGAGAAGGAAAGAATTAAGAAGCTGAGCACAATGTGAGCTGACAATTGCTTTAAAGTACTTCCCAGCTTGCCACTCCCAGGCCAAAGAGGAGGAAGAAGGGTTTTCAAGGGATAAAGATGCCATGAGCACAAACGGCCCTGCTGAAGATAGTGGGCTGCTGCCCGTACCTCCTGATCGTCAGTGTTGCTTGAGCACCGAAGAAGAGTGGCCCAGCCTTTTGGGTGCAGCTGTAAGGATGTGATGCAGTTTCCACGGTCTCTCTCACCAGGAACTTCAGGGGTTAAGACTTCAAGACTATTTCGTGGTGAAACTCCTGAGATACAAGAAAATTAGGATGTGGGATTTGTATTATCAGAGGACTCACGCAGCTCATCAAAGCTTTGATTTCTGTCAGCCACTGCCAATGCCTTAATTTCTTTGCCTGCCTTATGTTACCACATGTAAAAAAAACCTACGGTGCCTTCAATGTATGGGGTGGAAGTGTGTCTTTAGGGCGAGGGTATGGGGGAAGGGTATGAAAAGGACTAAAGAAGTTCCTGCAGCAGGAATCACCAATGGCGGAAGCCTAAGGCATGAAAGCTGACTAGAGGTCCTTTCGATTTGGATCTACATCTCAGAAAGCTCTTAAGTAAAATCAAATTATGTGACATGAAAGGAAATCTGGAAAAGTAAAAGATAGTTCTAATCTCAGAGGACCTGGTGCTTTCTAGCCCAGAGGAAGAAATATTTGGGAGCCATGAAGACGGCCTTTATATAAAAAAAGTCTATTATGCATGCAAGGAGCAGTGAGGGAGGACACTTCACATAGAAGTATGTCAAAACAAGGGATGGGAGACAGTGCCAGTCATACCTATTCCTACTCTGCTATGGCCCATCTTTTCCTTCTACCTAGCCCTCAATGAAAGTGACTGCTGTAGTAAGTCCCACAGTAACTAATGGGAGTATAGCATATCCCTTAGGTATGTGGAGCGCCGCTTTCACAGACATTGTAAGGAAGCAGCTTAGAAATTTAATATCAAGAAAAATATTTCAACCCTTCTCTGCCTGTGGAAGGAGCTGCTTTAAAGATAATGGGCTCCCTCTGTCAGATACTTTGTGAATTGCTTGTCAAAAAGGTGTTACTTTCTTTTAAAAGTTCCCTTTAGATTACTACAGTGTTGATGGAAACCTTGAAGCTCTAAATTACACTATTACAACCAAACTATACCCAAATAATGATTTCACATGTGATTGAACTTTAATAACAATTTTCGAGGAAAACAAACCCCTATTTCAATAATTAATTTTGAAAATCTACAAAAGAACAGAATAGAAACTCATTCTAAATAGCTAAATAGTGGTTTTCAAGCTGTGCTCCTTGGAGTTGGAGGTTCCTCAAGAGCTGGGAAAAGTGGGGAACCACCAGGGTGGGGATGGTGAGGGGAAGACTAGAGGATCAAGGGCTTCCCTAATTTCCCATGAACCAGAGTTACTCCACTTTTATTTGTGCTATATCCCTAAGAATCCACAGCAGATTTCATGTCAAAAAGAGAGTTCTAATCCTGAAATGAGTTTGAAAGCCTCTGCTCTAAACAGCTATTATATCTGCCAAAGTATGACCTTAACATATTCTGACACCTGAAGACCCAGGCTTTCAGACATTCCGAGTAACTTACCTATAAGCCCCCCTTTCTTCTCTCTTTTCACTCCCTAATTTTCTTATTCTCTCTGCCCAGGCTCCCAGTACATCATCTCTTCTCATAGACCCAACTCTCTATAACATGAAGCGGCTGTAAAGTTTTGTTTTGGGGTTTACTAATATACAAGCAAACATGTTAACTATTCTTAAATTAAGTTTCTTTTTCTCATAAATGGTTTAGTTAATCAATAAAGATTTTTCTTAGTGATTACTAAGAGCCTTGGCTTATTTCCCATAGCCAAAGGAGAAGGAAAACAAGTAGACTCTGCAAAAGAAGTTTTTGCTACAAATCAAAGGAGCAATGTTATACATCTGGGTATAAATCTCTAAATTTAAGAAGAGGAGTTTTTAACCTTAAAGTGAAACATCGAAGTCTTTAACATCCAGAGGAAAGTGGATAAGATATAGGTTGGGTTAGGAAGGGCTCTCAAACGATTCTACTCACATAAGTAGTCATGCAAAATAATCAAGTATGCATTTATCAAGCACTTACCAGGTGAGGCCACCCAGGGAAAACAAATTAGAAGTCTAATGGGTAGTCCCTCCCCTAAGTATCTAGGTAGGAAACATGCTTATCTCCAAAAGGTGACCTAAAATTATAAAAAACCATATCTGGCCAACAGTCCACAAAAGAGTACAAAGAAAAAATGCTGTAAGAGTTTAGATGTGAATTAATTTGGAGAGGGTTGGTATGGAAATCCGCATAGGTAGAAAGCATTTCAATTAGGGGGTGGAAGGAATAGGCTAAGCAGCTAGTTCTGCCAGAGTGGGTGGAGACTAACTGGCAAAAGCAGAGTGGGGCCAGATGTAGCGCACGTTACCCCACAAGACCTCCGAGCCTATCAGGCATTGCTGAGATAAGGATAGGGCAGGGCAAAAAGCCTACTGGGCTGGAACCAGGTGACTTCCACAAGCACCTGATAAACCCATCCCCTTATATTTATACATCACTGTCCCATGTATAATCTCGTTTAATTTCCATCACAACTTTGATTGAAATAAACATTTCCCAACTACTTCCTCTCCAAATTATTGGGTTGTCAGAAAAGTCGTGACGCATGTTTGCGACAGATGGCACTAGTTTGTTTTTGGAAGTACTAGAGTCGTTTGCATCTATGTTATTGCTATGTCATTTGACAGCTGACAGCTCTAGCATCATTCTTTTATCTTCACAAATAAAGATAGGTCCTCCTATGAACGAGGAATTATGAAGCTCACTGAAAGATGACAAAAGGTTATCAAACAAAACGGGCAATATATAATTGATTGATCTTTGTTCTTTATATAAATAAATGACCTTTGAAAAACATAGCCAAAATATGTCATGATTTTTCCGACAACCCAATACATGAAGCTAAGTCCAGGAAATAAAACCACAGCTTACATTCCAACAAAGATTTAAGCCCAAGATATTCAACCCTAGAGACTGTTTAGCTTTTTGAAAATGATAACTTGAGGGACAAGGAATAGCCTTACCTCTATTGGCTAATTTTATGGATTAAAACCAAACCAAAGAAAGCTATTTGGTAGAATCTGTTGTTGCAGGATTATAAAATCCAACTTTTAACCTACCTTCTCTTTGCGAGGCTCGCGACAGGTGTTTCTCAGATGAATTAGAGTCACTATGATGACAAGGTGAACCAGAAACTCTAGGACCAGATGAACTCGATGAAACGGTCAGATCTTGAAAATACAAGAAGTTCTGACAATACACCTGGCAAAACTCTGGTAATATCTCTTAACTTTTAAATCATCTACTTGAACTATACATTTAAAATCCATCTGAACCATGGTGAGTACATGGGCACTTAAAACTGGCTTATAACTAACTAAGATTGAGGTAGGACAGCTCTTTGAAGTGGTCTATCTAAGGCCTAGTGCCTTTCTAAAACCTTTTAGGTATAAAAGGTATGACTTGCTTAAGTGACATAAAAATGAAAAACCAAATAAATACAGGAGGATTTTTGGTTCCTCATCATTTCTGTAATGAAATGGAACAAGAAAATTCAGTAAGAATGAAAACAACTGTTCAGCTGATTGTTTAATGTTAGAGCAGGGTCCAAACATCAGGCCCATTACTGAGAATATGAACAGATCGTTCCTAAAGCATACCAAAAACTTCTATCATTCTTGAAATTACGTGAATACTATCTTTGAAATGCAATACAAACTTTACATTGAAATCTGTGGACAAATAAAATGAGTATCAGATAGTTGAGTTTGATATATTACTCTAAATAACAATCTCTATTTCATCACACTTTTCTAGTGGCCCCACATTTCTGCGGGGACTTATTTTTTATTTTTTATTTTTTTTTTAGCTGAGCCATCCTGCTACCTATTGGCAGCTCAGTGGCTGCTCAGCTCAGGCTGGACTTGAACCGCTGTTGCTCAGAGCTCAAACTCTTGAGCGAGCTCTTAACCAACTGAGCCACTCAGCCAGCCCTGCGGGGACTTATTAATCTAATTCCTTTTGATGTTATTATCAGAATTACCCTTAGAAGACAGAAAAACCTTCTTGGTTTTTGAATAAAAAAATGCCAAGTAGACCTTTAAATCACTACTGCTCACTAAGTACAAGCTGATTATTAATGTTTAACCTAAAAAAAATTCTGAATCCAAAAGGGTTATACTTGCATACTTATAAAATCCCTTGCTTGCAAATAAGCTGCTAAAACTTAAATTTCTACTTTTAGCAGTGACATTGGCCAACTGCAGTACAATGAAATGTCTTCAGAAGTGGCCCTGTGCACACAGGAGAAAGGCGGTAACCATTTGAACCTGATTTTTAATAGCAATTTATGAACATTATGTGTTCCAAATGATTAAGTCATTTTTCTGGGTTCTTGTTCATAAACACAATATTATAAACAATGGATATGTTCCCAGGTCAGTGCTTTTTTTCCCAAAGGTAGATGAAATATAGTCTCTATTACATAATGTAGATTAATTATAGTGTATAAGTTTTTCTGAGCCCTAATTTCTCTTAAATCTAACAGAATCAGCAACAGGAGAAGGGCTTGAGCAAGACGATGTTTAGGGGTCATGAGATAAGATGGCACCAGCTATCCGTGTCTGGACATTTGGAAGTCTAGAATACAATACAGGCTTAAAACTAAAACTCCATATTGACTATAACTTGAAAACTCTGCTGGGTTCCAGAAGAATTTAAAAAGATTGATACTACCTTAGGCCAGCACTAATCTTTGAGATACTGATGATTTAGGAATACTGATGAAAAATTTTTCGGCTAGCACAGAGCCAAAAGGAAATATTTTTAGAGTTAGCAGTTATTCTTCCTAGGACATCTGTGATACAGAGGTACATATAGATCATTATACTTCCTTAGGAAAAAAGCTCTCACTGAGGTTTCCAAAGAAAATCTTTTAATTTTCTTCCCTTCTTCCTGCTATCATTCTTAGATTGGATGCATATACCATCCCTATGTCTGAGATTCTTTGGAAAATTATTCAAAAAAGAAAAGCTTACCTGAATTTGATGTAGTTCTTCTTGCTCTCAAAATGGGATAGCTGCCTACTTCTAAAGATTTGGTTAAGTCAAGATCATGCAAAATCAAGAGATATCCAGAGGACGTTGAGATCAACATTTTGGAACAATCTGGTGTTAATCTCATTCTCATGAGAAAACGTGTGTGAAAAAATTTCTTATGCGGACACCCATCTTCTGTACACCTACAGAAGAAATCAGACCAACAAAACCTAGTTATCATAAATATAAGGATTTGGTGATCGTCATATTTTTGCCTTTCAAACTAGAATTTATAGTCAATGTATAGTTAGACTTACACATATGATTAATTTTTTTTTTTGCTCACCATTCCTGCTTTCATTTCCAATTTTCCTATTCAAATTATCCTTTCTTTCCAAAGTATTTTTTAAAATAAGACTTCGTTGAGGCAAACTCACTTTTTATTGTTCTGAAAATCTTTATTTCACTCTTCTTTTTGACTAAAGGTTTAGCTAAGCATATAAATTTAGGTAGATATTTCTTTCTGAATATCAAGGAAAATATTCACTAAGTTCTGGTTTCCATTGTTGTTATTTTTAGGACTACTATCAGTCTAATTGTTATCTTATAATTTATCCTTTTTTTATCCTCTGGCTGCTCTTCTCTTTGTCTTTGGAGTACTGCAGTTTTACTCTATATGTGTAAATTTGGATTTCTTTCTATTTATCTTTATTGGAATTCATTTGACTTTCTAAATCTTAAGCTTCATGTTATTCATATATTCTGGAAAGTTCTCCATCATTATTCCAATATTGCCTCTCACCTATTTTCTCTATTTTTTTAGAGCTCCAAATAGACGTTTGAAACATTTACATTTGACTGTCCTTGTCTCATAACTTCTCTTTCATGTCTTCCATCTCCTCATTGCCATATGTTATGCTCTGGATAATTTTTCAATACCTATCTTCCAATCTATTTTTTAAAGTTGTGTCTAATCTGCTACTTAACCTGTCTTTTTTTTCTTTAATTTCCATAGTTCTATTTTTTTACTTCTTTAAGTTCTATTTGGCTCTTTTTCAAATCTGCCTGGTCTTTTGGATAGATTTTTATTCCTTGCCTATGTTCTTTATTCCCCCTTCTCTTTTTTTTCAATTATATCTTAAATTGTGAACTGGATCATACCCACAGAAAAGTACATAAATAAAACATATGTAGAGTTTAAAGAAAATGAACACCTGTGACTCATCACTCATATTAACAAGTAGAACAATACCAGTAAGTTAAAAGTCCCTTTATTTCTCTCCTCTGTTGCATCCTTCAGTCAACATTCAATGCTGCAAGCATACGATATCTTTTCTTCTCTCTCTGAGGATACTGAGAGGCTTTTTAAGTTTTCTTCTCCCTATTTCTTCCTCCAAAATCTCTCTCCATTTGTGTAGTTCTTTATATCACAAACTTTTCTCAAATGTCTGATTATTTTTAGCTGTCTGCTTATAATTAAGAATGGATAACTAAAAAGCTGACTGGGAACTGAGTACAGGGGTAGGCTTGAGCTTCACTATGTAGGGTGAAGCCAGTTTTTGAGGAACTCGTAATGTCAGTATCTTTGTTTTCTTAACTGGAAGAAGCTAAGGGTCTCTGAATTCAATATTCAGCATACATATGGTCACTCAATCTCCCGGATTTTGGTAAGGTGTCCAAGTCTTCAACTGTGTCTGCATCTTTCAATACAGAGTTTCTCTATTTTACCCTCTAGAGAATAAAATTTGAAACTTCCTCTGAAATGGGAGCTGTCAATGGCCCAGTGGTATGGATTAAGGGAAGAAATGTAAGCTCTTAACTAACTTTCACTTAAATCCTTACTTTAGCTATCCCTTCAACTACAGAGTACCCCAAGTTGCCAGTTCCTATGATTTTTGAAGATTTTGTAGTCTTAACTTCCCCCGCAGCTTAGGATTCAGCTTTCTCGTACTAAGTTAAGTTAAGTAAGTTGCTAAGTCAGTTTCCACTCACCTACCTATTTTCCAGATCTAAAATTTTATTGTCATTGATTCTTTTCCTATTTCCCCACCTTTATGAGTTTACAGCCTTTATTTATTTATTTTTAAATTTTTAGTGGAAATTTATTTATCTTTATATTATTACAGCCTTTATTTTTAAATTTGCTTATTGTTGTTTTAGAGGCCTTTTCTCATCCATAGACTTTATTTAGGTCTTATATTGCTTAAATGAAATTTTACAATTTTCTCCATAAAAGTTATAAAAATCTTTTGTTGCAATTTATTTCTGTATACCAACTAAATATTTTAATTACTAAAAACTATATACTGTAAAAAATTAAAATTGTTTGTTGTTATGTATAGGAACACCGCTAATTTTTACATTTTGATCTTACATCTATCTAGCAATCTTGGTTAACTCTTATTAATTCTGATAATTTGTCAATAGAATTTCTAGGGTTTTCTATATAGACCAGGGGTCAGAAAACTGGCATATGGGCCAAATCTGCAAAGTTTGTTAAAACACATCCACACCCATTCATGTATTGTCTACGGCTGCTCAGCGACCATATAGCACACAAAGCCTAAAATATTTATTATACTGCATTTTATAAAAACTGTTTGCCAACCCGATATAGACAATCACATCATCTGTGAATGATATTGTTTAATTCTTCCCTTTCCAATCCTTATATATTTATTTCTTTTACGGCACCAACTAGGACCCTGCCGCCCCCTAACCCCCAAACAACGGGGAACCGTGGTAGTAATAACAGGCATTTTTCTCCTTCCTCATTTTATTGAAAACACTTCTAAAGTTTCACCATTTAAAAAATGGTGTAGGTTTTAGTGTATACTTTTGATGAGTTTCCTTTTATTTCTAGTTAATTAACAGTTTTGTTTTTAATAGTTTTATTGAGGTATAATTTACATACCATAAAATTTATTCATTTTCAGTATACAATTAAGTGATTTTTAGTAAATTTAGACAGCTGTGTGATCATCAACACAATCCAATTTTAGAACACTTTCATCACCCTAAAAAATCCCTCCTGCCCATTAGCAATCACTCCCTGTGCCTACTCCCAGCCACAGGCAACCACTAATCCACTTTCGGTCTTTTTATATCTGCCTATTGTGGACATTTCATATAAATAAAATCGTACAATAAATGGTGTTTTGTTTGGCTTTATTCACTTAGCATAATTTTTTTGAAGTTCATCCATGTAACAACACATATTAGTACTTTGTTCCTTTTCATTACCAAATAGTATTCTATTATATAGATATACCACACTTTATTGATTTAGCACACTTTGTTTTTTGATTTACCAAGGTTATATTTGAATTGGTTCCAAATTTTTGGCTATTATGAATAATAATACTATCACCATTCATGTGGACATATGTGTTTATTTCTCTCAGGAGTAGAATTGTTGGGTCATATGGTAACTCTTTGTTTTAAGAAACTGCCAAGCTGTTTTCTAAAGTGGCTGTCCCAGTTTACATTCCTACAACGATGTATGAAGTTCTAGTTCTCCACATTCTTGCCAATACTTGTTATTGTCTTTTTTATTAAAGCCATCTTAGTGGGTATGGAGTGGTATCTCATTTTCATTTGAGTGGCATTTCCTTTATGACTAATGATGTTGCACATCTTTTCATGTGCTTATTAATCATTTGTATATCTTCTTTGGTGAAATGTCTACGCAAATATTTTGCCCATGTTTTCTAGCTGAGCCATCCTGCCACCTGTTGGCAGCTCAGTTTGGGATGGGAATCGAACTGGCGATCCTGTTGCTTAGAGCTCACACTCTTGAGCGAGTTCTTAACCAACTGAGCCACTCGGCCGGCCCTATTTTGCCCATTTTTAAATTGGGTTACTGATGTACATATAAGTGAATTGCAAGAGTTCATTATATAATTCTGGACACAAATCCTTTACCAGATGTGATTTACAAATATTCTCTCACGTTCTGTAGTTTTTCTTTTCACTTTCTTAATGGTGTCATTTGATGCACAAAGCTTTTTAATTTTAATGAAGTCCATTTTATCAATTTTTAAAATCATTTCAGCTTTGGTGGTGTATGAAGATTTATTCCCATGTTTCCTTCTATATATTTGTAGCTCTTATGTTCGTTCAGGTTGAAATCCATCAAGTTCACTTTTGTGATGTGAGAAAAGGTTCTAAATTCATCTTTTTGCATGTGGACATCCAGTTGTATAAGTATCATTTATTGAAAAGACTATCCTTTCCTGAAATTTGAATTACATTGACACTTTTGTTGAAAATCAGTTGATCATAAATAAATAATTTGCAAGGATTTATTTCTGGACTCTCAATCTGCTCCTTGATTTATATGCCTATCCTATGCCAGTACCACACTATCTTGATTAATATGGATTTGTAGTAGTCCTGAAATCAGGAAGTGTGAGTCTTTCAATTTTGTTCTTCTTTTTCAACGTTGTTTTTGGCTATTCTGGGTCATTTACATTTCCATATAAATTTTAGAATTGGATTGACAATTTGTCCAAAAACGCAGCTGGAATTCTGGTAAGGGTTGCATTGAATCTATAGGTTAATTTGGGGAGAACTGCCATCTTAATGATAGTGAGTCTTCCAATCCATGAACATGGAATGTCTCTCCATTCATTTGTAGCTTCTTATCTTTCAGCAATGTTTTATAGTTTTCAGTGTACAAATTTTGTACTTCTTTTGTTAAATCCATTCCTAAGCATTTTATTTTATTTTTTTAATGCTATTCTGAATGGAATTTTTCTTTACTCATTTTTGGACTGCTCATTGTTTATAAGTAGAAATACCACTGATTTTTGTATATTAATATTGTATATCTTGTGACCTTCCTTAACTTGTTTATTAGTTCTAGCAGTTTTTTTGTGGATTTCTTAAGATTTTCTATATACAACATTATATCTCCTGCATTTGAAGACAGTTTTATTTCTTCCTTTCCAATCTGGATGCCTGTTACCTATCTATCTAATCTATTGGGTCGTCGGAAAAGTCGACACATTTTTGCAACGAAAAACAGAAAAATATGTCATGATTCTTCCGACGACCCAATATCTATCTATCTGTCCGTCCGTCCGTCCGTCCGTCCATCCATCCATCCATCCATCCATCCATCCATCCATCCATCCATCCATCTATCTATTTTCTTGCCTGATTACATTTCCAGTGCAATGTACCTCCAGTACAAAGCTGAATAAAAGTGGTGGGAGCAGACATCCTTGCCTTGTTTCCAATCCTAGGGGAAACATAGTTTTTCAACATTAAGTATGATTTTAGCCATAGGTTTTTCATAGATGTCCTTTATCAGGCTGAGGAAGTTCCCTGTCATTCCCCATTTATCACAAAAGGGTGCTGGATTTTGTCAAGTGCTTTCCTGCTTTTATTGAGATGATCATATATATGGGTTTTAACTTTTATTAACATGATGTATTACATTAATCGATTTTTAGATGTTAAACCAACACTGTATTCCTGGGATAAATTCCAATTGTCCATGACATATAATGTGTTATATCTATATATCTATATCTATCTATCTATCTATCTATCTATCTATCTATCTATCTATCTATGTATCTGAGAGAAAGATTTGATTTGTGAATATGTTGAAGATTTTTGAATCTTTTTTTGTAGGAATATTGGTCTGTAGTTTTCTATTCTTATGATGTTTATCTAGTTTGGTATCAAAGTAATACTAGTCTCATAAAATGAGTTGGGACGAGTTCTATTTTCTTGAAGAGTGTGTGAAGGATTGGTTATGATTTATTCTTTAAATTGGTATAATTTATTCAGTAAAATTCACCAGTGAAGTCTTTTGTGCCTGGGCCTCTTCATTGTGGGAAGAGTTTTAAATTACCAATTCAATTTCTTTACTTTGCTCTAAGTCTGTAGGTCTATAGATTTTGTTTGTTCTTGAATTAAAGTAATTTGTGTCTCTCTAGGTATGTTTATCTAAGTTGTCTAATTTGTTGCCAAGAAGTTTTTCATTGTATTCCTTTTTAATCCTTTTAATCTCTATGAAGTTAGTAGTAACACCCCCTCTTTTAATTTTAAGTATGACTGAAAGTTGAATTTTATTACTCAATTGAAACAACCGTATGAATTTATCTATTTAACCTGTTAATGTGATAAATTGTATTAATAGAATTTCTATTGATAAATCATTTTTTCATTCCTTGAATAAATCCAACTTGGTCATGATATTCTGATTAATATCTTACAGGATTCAATTTTTCAATTTAGAATATTTGTACCTCCATTCATACTACAAATTGAACTTTCATCTTTTTCTTCTAATATTATCTTTGTTGAATGTAGGTATCAAGGTCATACTAGCTTTATACATAAGGAGAATTCCCTTTTTCTGGAAATATGAACAGTTTAATAAAATTGAAATATTTTTTTATTTATAATATTTAGTAGAAGTCACCTATGAAACTGACAGGCCTGCTGTTTTATTGTTCTAATTAATTTTTTTCCATTTCTTCCATGGCTATGGTAGGGGTGATATTCAAAATATTTAAACAACCAGAACTGCATGAAAACTAGCCAATCAAAATTAATGTGACTGGCAGTGCTGGAATTGGGGCCTGGATTTACTGTACAGTGTAAGGGGGACTTTAGCCACTAGATCATAGAGAGATCTTGAGGGAAGTATTTCTAGAAGAGGGGCCTAGGTAGCTAGAGGGTGCCAGGATATGACACCTGGGGATGCTTCAGGATAGTGGCTATTTATCAATTATTATGGAAGTTCAATCTTTTAACAACCACTTTAGCTGAACTTGTGCATGTTGGTTAACTATCAGTCCTGATAATAGGTTAATTTCAGGTTGTCTATTTATTCTTTGATCACTTTTACTAAGGTGTATTTTTTGAGTAAACCATCTTATCAGTTTTCAAGTATACTGGCATAAAGCTGATCATCTTCTCTTACTCTAGATTAAATTTTTCTGTTGTCTCCTTTTTCATTGCTAAGATTTTTTGTGTCTTTTTTTTCTAGATGAATTTTACCAGATAACTGCAGTCTCAATTAGCTTTTTCAAAGAGAAGGCTTTTTAAAAATCTTTATTGGCTTTTTCAAAGAGTTGGCTTTAAAAATTAATTTTCATTTTCAATTTCATTAATTTCTCCTTTTATCTTTATCATTTCTATTCATCTACTTTCATTGGGTTTGTCCTTTTTTTATTTTTCCAGTTTTTTGGGTAAGATGCTTAGTTCATTAATTTTCAGTTGATTTTCTGATTTTACTCTGATTTCTTCTTTGATCCATGAATTATTTAGAAAATTAATTTATAAGTCTCCAAACATGGAAATTTTTGTTACTTGTGTTAATTAAACTGTACTAAGGTCAGGGGAAATGGTTTGTGTAATAACAATTCTTTGATATTGGTTGAGACTTACTTTGTAGTCCACTATATGTTCATTTTTGTACATGTTCTAAGTTTGCTTCAGAGGATGTATTCACTATTTGTTGGGAGCAGAATTCTGAATATGCCTAATAGATCAAGCTTATTAATAATATTAAAATCTTCTATAGCCTTACTAATTTTTTGGTCTATTTTATCTATTACTAATGAAAGAATGGTGTTAATATTTTTCACTAAGATGAGGACTGAGACAATCTTATTAGGTGTATATAGGATAAGTATTCTTTTATGCTCTAGTGAAACAAACCTTTTAATATAGTACCTTTTTATCACTAATAATATTTTATGCTTTAAACTCTATTTTATCTGCTATTAATGTAGATAAAACTGTTTTTCTATGATTTGTATTTGCTTGTTATTTTTCCCCATCATTTTACTTCCAAACTTTCTGTATTTATATGTTTTGGATGGGTTCCTTACAAAGGACATACAGTTTGGTTTGGTTTTTTAATCCACTCTAATTCTATCTTTTAACTAGCTACTTTAGTCCATATACATTTATTATGATTATTGCTCTTTGGATTATCTCCCTACTATATTTTTGTGCTTCCTAATTTACCTGTTTTTTGTTTTAAAAAAAATTTTTTTTCCCTCATCTTCTCTGCCAAGAATTGGATTGATCATGTTTTATTAGCTTTTATCCTTCTAATTTGGAAGTTATCATTTATATTCCTATTCAAATTTTATTATTTTTTTAAGCTCACAGTGTCCCATGTGGGGATTGAACCAGCAACCTTAGTGTTATTAGTACCACGCTCTAACCAACTGAGCTAACCGGCCACCCCCTCAAATTTTATTTCTAAATTAAAAAAAAATATTTCTAAATTTTAACAAGCATGTTTGTCTTACTTTAAAGATAATCAGTAGCTCTATCCTCTGCTCAAACAATATGCATAGCTAGAAATCTTTAAGAATATCTCCTTTTTTACATATAATCTCCGAAAAGAATATTTCAGAAATGATCCTGGTATATTACTGTATTGTCATTTCACCATAGCTAGCAACAGGTGTAGTTTAATTACTTCTCAAATGTCAACGCTTTAAGTAATGAATTCCTCCATAAGGAAACATTTTATTGAAGTATTTCACAACAGAGGCATTACTGACATTTTAGGTAGACAACTGGTCCCCTGTGCAAACTGTCCTGTGCACTGCAGGATGTTTAGAAACTCTGATCCTTGCCAAGTAAATGCGAGTAGAAATCCTCCTCTCTTTTCCCAAAGTGACAACTAAAACTGTACCACACATTTTTTACAAACACTCCACTACAGATCAGTAATAGAGAGACTAATGGCTCTTTTACTACATGAAAACAAAGTGCAAAAATTACACAAAATTAGATTTAGAACTGAAGGACCAACAAGTGAAAAACACTTCAGTGCAACAAAGGAAATAAAAATATGTTTCCTTAAATTCAGGAAACTCATCTTATAAACCATTTTTCACCATTACCTATACTTCTTGATCTCCTTTCCATATAATTTTCTCCAAAGTTTTCAGTTGCAATATATGACTAAGTGCAAGTAACAAAGGATAGAATCACTTTTTAATTGTTTCTCACAAAACGAGTTTCTTTCTCCTAAAGCGATATAAAAGCTAAAACAGAACACTGAATTTGTTTACCATCTTTAAAAAATATTTGTTTATAATCCTAACATGGTCTCCTATTCACAAACCTGTTGGTGTCCCAAATAATGACATTTCCATCAAATCCTGATGTTACTAAGAGTCTTGTATTAGTATCATATTCGATGTTCTTCACCCAGCTAGTGTGACCATGTAAAGTGCATACTTTGTTGTTCAATTTTCTCAGATCCCATAGTGCTATTGTAGTGTCATCAGAGCAGGTAGCAAACAGCCGGTTATCAAGAAATCTACAAAGCAGAAAAGAAAAACTGGTTTATTTAATCTCTTATTGAAGAAATCTTGAGAAATAGTCTCTATATTACCCAATCAAGAAAACAAACTAAAAAGACTATAAACTCACTGGTTCATTTTTTAAAATTAATTAGGATGACATTGGTTAATAAGATTATATAAGTTTAAGTGTACAATATATTGCATTGTGTGCTCACCACCCAAAGTCTAGTCTCCTTCCATCACCATATATATGACCCCCTTTACCCTCTTCAATTTCACCCCATCTTCCCCTCTGGTAACCACCATACTGTTATTTGTGTCTATGATGTTTTTTATTAGTTTGTTGCTTTCTGTTTTATAACCCACATATGAGTGAAATCATATGGTTCTTGTCCAAAACTAGTGATTCTGATATACAATAAATAGTAAGTATAATTCACATAAACACAGGGAAGGATACTGTGATTTAATAAAGGCCGCATTGCAATTTTATCCATTTGCTTTACACTATTGATTTTTATTTGGAACTGAGAATGGGTGGGTGTTTAGAGAACAGTGCTAGAGATAAAGGAGAACTTTAAAATCTGTATAGGAGACACAAATGGTGAGAAACAATTTAATAGGAGACAGGAAATTTGGAAACCCTGATTGCCAAGGGAGACATGTGAAGTGTAAAGGGTTCAAAATATGAGAAATGTTTTCTCTGCTACAAGGAACATCTCGTTCTATTTAGAACACATTTACATGTAAAAATTGCTATTAAAATACCATCATTTTCATCTATTAATTCAAAGGCATTCCCCAAATAATCTCGCTTAGCAACATTTCATTAGAACCTGTCAAGATTACAAGATAAATTGAAATACTCTACAATTCAGGCTTTTAATTATTTTACACTAATTTCTCAATCCTTAGTGAGAATATATTTTAAACAAATACTTAAAAAATAACAAACCTACCAATTACACTTCAATTTCTATCTAATTCAACATTAGGATGCTTTCTCTAATATGCTATTATATATAACTTCCTAATCTCTTACAGAAGAAATGAATTTTGGAGCTTTTTTCAAGAAAAAATTATATATAATTATTTTTCTATCAGAAATCAACCTCAATATCCACAAACACCATAATGACCTTCCTGCAACTTAACATAGTTTTAAAATTCCAGGCCTTTGGTCAGGCTCTTCTTGCTACCTGAAACCACATTTCCCCTACCCCTTGACATGGCTAACACTTTACTATTCAGCTATCAGCCCCTCCAGGAAGCCTTCCTTCTCTATCCAGCCTGGGGTAGATTTACCAATCTTCTAATCTCTTAAAACACTCTACACTCTATTACAACACTTAATATTACAGTGTACTTTACAAGGCTATAAACTTGAAGGCAGGGGGACCTGTCTACACAGTTCATGGTTAGCTCTGCAGTACCCAACACAGTGCCAGGCACATAATAAACACAAATATTTATTAAATGAATGAATGAGATGGGAGTTCACTGCCTAGTGAAAAGGCATTATAAATACATATAAATAATTATACAAGATTATTATGTGGAATAAGCAAAGAAACAAGGAGTTCAGGAAAGACTTCATGGTGGTGTCATTTAAACTGACTTTAAAAGATGAGAGGCACTCCCTAAGTGACCAAAGGGTGAACAAAGGTACAGAGGCACATAAGGGGATGATGTACTCTGAGGGGCTGGTTAGGAGTACTGTGAATGGAAAAGTAGACACAAGTAGAGAATATATCACAGATTTCTTCTATAATGATTCCCAATAACCGTTTCTTAATTATAAATACATGCCCATTGAAAATACTTTTTTAAATGGGAAAAAACCTACTACCAAAAATAATTGCTGTTATTGATATTTAGCCTAATTCCTGTATTTCAGACCTAATATTATCTCACAAATAATTTGCCATATCATTAAAGATTTATCGACAAAATCATTCTTAATGGCTGTGTAGCATTCACTGTATGAATGAACTGTAATCTTTTTTCTTTTTAAAACTAATATGCAATTGTTAGATGTTTAGATTGCTTCCAATTTTTCACTATTATAAAACACTATGATGAACATCCTAACAGCCAAATATTAAACACATCCCTAGTTCTTTTTCTAAGTTATGTTCCCAGTAAAATGTATTGCTAAGTATAAAGGGATTTAAAAAAAGTAAGGCTTTTGATACATATAGCCAAACTGTCCTCAAAAGAACATACTAATATATAGTTCCTCCAGCAGTTAGGAGTGTCCATTCCTCCAAACCCTTACCACACAGACATTTTTTAAATTCTGCTAAGTGCTAGAAAAAATATCATCTTGTTTTAAGTTGAAACTTCTATTTTTAGTAAAGATGAACTTTTTTCATATTAATTGGAAGCTTATATTTCTTTTGTGAATTGCTATTCATGTTCTTTGCGATTTTCCTACTGCAGTATTATTTTTACTACTGAGTTATAAAATCTTTTTATAGTAATGATAATATACCTGTTTTTCAAATACAGCCTGTTGATATATTTTCCACATATATTTTTTTCAGTGTGGTTTATGTTTTTTTACTATATCAAAATTTTAATTACTATATTGTCAAATCCATTATCCCCTTATAGTTTTACCTTTACTGATAAGCCTTTTTAAAGTAAAAATAGTTCAATGGCTTCCACACCTGACAGGAGTTATATGATTGCAAAAAACACACAATTAGAAAAGGCTACTGGAAAGTCAGTCAAACTTTTAAAATAAATGGAAAAAAATATAACTAACATATTTTGTTTAGTCTAGAGAAAATACTTAATGCACATATGGATTCAAAATTCCAGTGGGATTATACTGCTGTAGGTCAAGGTGGTCTACCCTGAAGGGTTTAAGGCAAGAGAGTGACATGATTAAGTAAGTTTCAGAAAGATCTCCAAGGTAGCTAGGTTCCAAAACACTAGGATTTTCATAAAAAATAAAGTAGGAGATCAGTTTTTAAATTTTTGTCAATAAGACTACTGAAAAATTACCATTGTTCCATGAAATAATACCAACAATGTAGAAAGAACATAATCTTAAAACAAAAGCTAATAATTTTGAATTGAATAAGTTTACCTTAATGAAAAATTCAGTATTTTGACTTTAGTTTTCTCTTTTTTGCCTGAAGTTTTACCTGTTAGAATTTTTGGTATTAGAGAATCATTGGTAAAGAGAGTAGATAAGTTGTAGAAAATTAAGAATGTAGACTGGGAACCAGTTAAAGCACCTACAGTTCTTATCCTAAGAAAGCAGAGTCAGAGAATGTAAAATTTTAGACAAGTTCTTTGAGATCTGGTCCAATCCTCTTAAATTAAAACTCAGTCTAGCCTAATCAGTTAATAATTGTAAAATATTTTTAACTCCACAGTCCTTCACACACAATGAAATCTATGAGTTTCTGAATTACAGAGCTTCTCCATATATCCCCATCGAACCCCAACATATGACTATAACAGCTCTGGGTAAATTGGAATCTGGATAAATTGAGGTCTTCATTATCAGAATATAACTGGTAAAGGATAACAGCAATTGAAACTGTATTTTCTTAAGATAGGTATGAACTGGGCCGGCCGAGTGGCGCGTTGGTTAAGAGCTAGCTTGGGATGCCAGAAGGCCCCGGTTCAGATCCCACACATGAGGGCCAGTGACACTGCCCTCTACAGCTAAGATGCTGAACAACAGCTCAACCTAGAGCTGGGCTGCCATGAGTCGCCGGCTCCCGCAGGTGGGTTGCCATGGGCTACTGTGTGTAGCCAGCAGCCAGCGTGAAGCCGGCAACTGATCTGCCTCACCCGGGAAGAGCGCAATGATGGTGCCAACTTGGGCCAGTGAAGCAACTTCCTCCACAACTAGACTGAAGAACAAAAGGATAGCAACTTGTCTGTTCCCCTTCCCCCAATTCCCCAATAAAAATCTTTAAAAAAAAGAGATAGGTATGAACATTTCATTGAACAAGGAAAAGAAAGTGTTGTTGAATAGTTATCTTAAAAAAAAACACACCAAAAAATCATGAAAATAAAACTATTTTTACATTTAACTACATGCAAGAATAAATTAAATGTTTGGTTTTTTTTTTTTTGCATAGTTTTTCCAATGAAATTATGACAGAAGAATATGGCATCCTTACTTCATATTTGAGTTTTGTATTATAATCAAAATGAGGGTCATTTCTGTATAATATTCAAGGGCTTTATCAAATTTCCCAAGGGTCTTTCCTTAGTCCTGTGAGATATTCACATAATTTTTTGAAGTCTCTATCATGTCATCATTTCTGTCATTTTCTCTAATTGACAACTAGCCTATCAAATCCTCATTTGCCAATGATTGATCAGTTATTTAACATCACTCTCAGGATTTTGTGAAATTCTACATCCTTTGCAAAGTAAGAAATTTCATGTTCCCAGTGATAAACATTGTATTTACATTATACTATTTGAAATATAATAATCAGGAAGAGACCAACAAAGAAAGTGGAAGAGAATATCTTGGAACATTTAAACGGGTACTAATTTTTTCACTGCCATATCAGTAAGTAAATATGATAACCTCAGTTCTCCCCACAAACTTATAATTGGGGGACCTTGATTATTATTAAATGAAGTCTTAACTCCACAAAGAGACCTCACAAATAATTATTGTACATGCTTTCCCTAATATGGAGCAACAGAAAATACTCTCCACAAATATCAACATTTTTATTTTACAAGATAAGCAAACCTCAAAACTAAGACATCTAGAAGACATTACTAAGTATGTGCAAAATGACTGTCTAGAACCAAACCAGGGAGTGCATGCCATATCTCTGAACAGTAGAGTGAGGTGGTCTACTGGAGCTGAGTGTGAATTCCAGCTCTACCACTTACTATATATTATACCTTGGGCAAGTCTCTTTATCTGAGTTGCAGTTTCTTCCTTCCTTAAAATGAGTACAATATCTGTCTCACATCAGGATACTGTGATGATTAAACAAAATAATGTATGAAAAGTGCTTCA